GAGCCCTACGGACTCACACGCCCTACGACCAATATGAGGCCCACGAGCCCCGTGACCCTTCTGAGGGCCATCAGCCCCGTGAACCCATGAGCCCTACGAGCCCAACGAGCCCTACGAGCCCTATGCGCCATAGCCTCTATTAGGAATCCTCCATTAGCCCGGTGACCCCATGAGCCGTACGAGCCCTACGCGCCCTGCAAGCCCTCTGAGATTTCCGCGCCCCATGAACTCCAGGAGACCTTTGACCCATACGACCCTTATGAGCCCCATCAGCCCCGTGAGCCCCATGGGCCCTACGAACCCATTGGGCCCCATGAGCCTTCCGAGCCCCATAAGCCCTCCGAGCACCATGAGCCCCTTGAGCCCTATGAGCCCTACAGGCCCTGGGAGCCCTATGAGCTCACGACCCCCATGGGCCCTCCGAGTCCATGAGCCCCGAGAGACCCAAGAGCCCCACGAGCCAAACGACCCCTATGAGCCCTACGAGCCGTACAACCCCTGCGACCCCCACGAGCCCCATCAGCCCCATGAGCCCTACGGAGCCCACGAGCCCTACGACCAGTATGAGCCCCACGAGCCCCAAGACCCCTCTGACCCCTATCAGCCCCGTGAACCCATTAGTCCTACGAGCCCTGCGAGCCCTACGCGCCCCAGGAGCCCTGCAAGCCCCGTCCGCCCTCTAAGCCCTATGACCCCCACGGGCCCTGCGAGCCCTACGAGCCCTCCGAGCCCTACGCGCCCCATGAACCACTGGACACCTACGACCCGTATGAGCCTCATGAGCCCCATCAGCCCCGTGAGCCCCATGGGCCCTACGAGCCCATTGAGCCCCATGAGCCTTCCGACACCCCATGAGCCCCATGAGCCCTATGAGCCCTACGGGCCCTTGCGACCAAGATTTTAAAGGCGAAGCGCAGCGAGCCGGTAAAATCTTGTATATATATATATATATATATATATATATATATAACACGGCGCACGGGTCCGTGGGCCCAGGGCCGGCCCCTGGACCGCAAATGTGGGTGTGCAGGCTTTTGGTCGGCCCTCAGGCCTGCAAAACGCCACAAGAAAGCGCCAAGAGAACCCGAAGACGCTCCAAGAGGGACCTGGGACGCCCAAAGGCCGCTCCAAGACGCCCACGATGGCCCCGAGACGGCCCAAAAAACTTCAAGACGCGCCCCAAAAACGGCCCAAGAGGCGCGAAAAACGCCACAAGAAAGCGTCACGAGACCCCGAAGACGCTCCAATAAGGAACCGAAACACCCAAAGGCCGATCCAAGACGCCCACGATGGTCCCGAGACGGCTTTTGCCAGCCGCTCTTCCTTTGTTTGCTGCGGAGTGTGCGACGGTATCCAGAAAAAAAGGGGGCCAGAGGGAGTATTGGAACGGAAATCTGAAGCTCTCCGTCCCTAGAGGTCCCCAGGAGGCTCCAAGAAGCACCCAAGGGGCGCCCAAGAAGCGCCGAAGAGGCCCCCGAGACGCTCCCAAAGCTCCAAAACGCCCCCAAGAGCCCGGACGCCCCGAAGCACCCCTGGCGATCCCGAGGGAGCTCGGAAATCGTACATTTTCGCAAATCCGCCTGATTCGCTTTCCCAGCGTCCACGACAGCCCCAGATGTCCCCAAGACGGCCCTTCCACGGGGGGTCCCAGACGAAGATTCGGAACGGATGTTTCCGCTCCCCGGCCGGAGAGCACCTCAGGAAGCTGCAGGATACCCCGTGAAGCCCCCAAGCTGGTCCCAGAGGCCCCCAAGAGATTCCAAGACAGCCCAAGACGCCACCAAGACAGCTCGAAGAGGCTTCTAAGATGGCCCACCACCGCCCAAAACAGCTCAAGAGGCTTCCAAGACAGCCCCAAAGGTTCCGGGGGTCTTTTGGGGCAGTCCTGGGGCCGCCTTGGGACGTCCAGGCGTCCTCTTAGGCCGTCATGGTCCCCTCTGGAAGCCCTTTCGGGCCAGCTTGAGGCTCTTTTGCGTCGGTCCTGGGCTCTCCATGGGCCCTCTTGGGAGGAGAAGGAGGAGGAGGAGGAGGAGGAGGAGGAGGAGGAGGAGGAGGAGGAGGAGGAAGTGGCGGGGGGGAGGAGGAGGTAGAGGGGGGGAGGAGTGGGGGGGGGGGAGGAGGCGGAGGAGGAAGAGGAGAGGAGGAGGAGGAGGAGGAGGAGGAGGAGGAGGGAGGAGGAGCAAGGATGAGGAGGAGGAGGAGGAGGAGGAGGAGGAGGAGCAGGGGGGGAGGAGGAACGGCAAGGAGGAGGAGGAGGAGGAGGAGGAGGAACGGGGGGGAGGAGGAGGTGCAGCAGGACGAGGAGAGAGAAGAGAGAGAGAGAGAAGGAATAATATATATCTATATATCTATATATATATATATAATGAGGATTTGAAGACGCCGCCGAGCAGGAAGTCCACATGCAGGAGCTTAGACAAATCGCCTCTTGGATGCCTTTTGGGCCGTTCTTCGTGCGCTCTTGGGGACAACTTGTAGGTTTTTTTGGGCCCTCTTGGGGACCGCTGGGGCCTCTTCGTCGCCAAGCGTTGGACTCCAAGCTATGTAGAACCGGAGCGCGCGCGAAGCGCGCGCGATGGTTCTAGTATATATATATACATCTATGTGAATATATATATATATATATATATATATATATATATATATGTGTGTGTGTCTGTGTGTCTGTGTGTTTGCCTGTATGTGTATATCCATATATATATACACGTATAGACATAATCATATCTACTTCTTACATTCATATATATATACACCCAGAAGCACAGATAATCACCAGCTTTTGCTCGCCTAAGGGGTTTTGAATTTCTTCTTCCACTGATGGATTTGTTGGTGCAAACGAAGGTTTTCCACGTTGCCGCCCGTGGCCGCCTAGTGGCAGCATCGTGCGTTGGGTGGGTCTGGTTAGATTTTGCCGCGTCGCCGCCTCGTGGCCGCCTCGTGCGCTGGGTGGGTCTGGCGAGGTTTCGCCACGTTGCCGCCCGTGGCCGCCTCGTGGCCGCCTCGGGTGGCTCTGGCGAGACTTCACGACATGGCCGCCCGTGGCCGCCTGGTGGCCGCTTCATGCGCTGGGTGGGTCCGGTGAGGGTCCGCCACGCTGCCGCCTGGTGGCCGCCTCGCGGGATGGATGGGTCCAGCGAGGTTTCACCACGTTGCCGCCCATGTGTCGGTCTCGTGGCCGCCTCGTGCGCTGAGTAACACCGGCGACGTTTCACCACGCTGCCGCCTGTGGCCGCCCCGTGGCAACCTCGTGTTTTGGGTGTCCGGCAGGGTTTCGCCACGTTGCCACCCGTGGCAACCTCGTGGCCGCTTCGTGCGCTGGGTGGGTCCGGCGAGGTTCCGCCACGGTGCCACCCGTGGCAACCTCGTGGCCGCCTCGTGCGCTGGGTGGGTCTGGCGAGGTTTCGCCACGCGGCCGCCCGTGGCCGCCTCGTGGCCGCCCAGGGTGGGTCTGGCGAGACTTCACGACATGGCCGCCCGTGGCCGCCTGGTGGCCGCTTCATGCGCTGGGTGGGTCCGGCGAGGGTCCGCCTCGTGGCCGCCTCGTGCGTTGGGTGGGTCCGGCAGGGTTTCGCCACGTTGCCGCCCGTGGCCGCCTCGTGGCCGCCTCGTTCGTTGGGTGGGTCCGGCAGGGTTTCGCCACGTTGCCGCCGCGTTGCCGCCTCGTGGCCGCCTCGTGCGTTGGGTGGGTCCGGCAGGGTTTCGCCACGTTGCCGCCGCGTTGCCTCCTCGGGGCGGCCTTGTGCGCTGGGTGGGTCCGGCGAAGTGTCGCCACGTTGCCGCCCGTGTGTTTGCTTCGTGGCCGCCTCGTGGCCGCCTCGTGCGCTGGGTGGGCTCGGGGAGGTTTTGGCCCGTTGCCGTTTCGTTGCCGCCTCCTCCTCCTTCTCCTCCTCCGCCTCCTCCTCCTCCTCCAACACCACCACCTCCTCCCCCTCCTCCTCTTCCTCCTCCTCCTCCTCCTCCTCCTCCTCCTCCTCCTCCTCCTCCTCCTCCTCCTCCTCCTCCTCTCCTCATCTCCATTCGAAACAATATCACCAGACCCTAGCACCCTTCCCCCCCAGGACTTATTGGCACACCTGGGATTGTACCTTTTTCGTTCAATTCTGTCCCATGGCTCATTTCCCATATGAGTTCGTTCCGTTCCAGCCCAACCAAGTATCGACCCCTCTAGATCCTTGTCAAATCAAAATATGCGCGTACACCCTGTTATCTGAAAATGCATTTGTTCAATAATCCCGTGCAATCAATGGCGCGAAGCTCGCACGCGCGCGCACATGTCGAAATCATACCAGACCCCAGTTTTGCAAGCACTTCGACATACACAAATCAAACCCCCGTTTGGTTTTTCCATCACAGATCCCGCAGATTTTCTGCCCGCGCGCCCTTGCTGAAATCGTAGGAGAACCATGTGATTGCGAAGGCTTTGCGGCCGGCGCCGCTGACCCTCTGACCCTGAAGGGGGACGACGAAGACGACGACGACGACGCTCGCGAGCCCTCGTGGGGGCCCTTGTAGGCCCTGTCGGCCTCGGGACCCCTCCGCGGACCCCCCCCTGGACCGCCCCCGGCGATCCCCTCCCCAGATCCCCTGCCGACGGCCCCAGTGGGAGGGTCCGCATGGTGCCACCACACCCATGCCGGCACGTCCCTCACGCGCTTCGTGGCCCCAGAGAGAGAGCCCCACCGAAGGCCCCAGCGAAAGGGTCCGCACGGCGCCACTGCACAGATATCTGCACAACCACCACGCGCTTCGCGGCACTACAGAGGGCCTCGCCGATGGCCCCAATGGGATCGCGGCGCCGCGCCCGCATCGGCACACCCCATCACACGCTTCGTGGCGCCACACCTCACCGACGGCCCCACCGGGAGGGCCCGCGTTGTGGCGCCGCGCCTCTGCACCCCTCCTTCGTCGCACCCGCCTCGCGACAGCCCGCAGCTGCACATGGTCCGGTCTTTCGCCGAGAGAGTGCGCTCCTCCTCGGCTCTGGCAGCGGCCGCCGCCCCAGCCGCCGTGTCGGCTCAGGTCCCTCGGCCGCCTTTGCCAGGAGCCAGGCCTCCCAAGTGGGGCCGGAGGATCGAGCCGCGTCGCGGATGCATCGGCGATGCGGCGCGGTTTGGAGCCCCGGTTTTCTCCAGCCCGGCGTCGCTGATGCATGGGCGGTGCATCGGCGATGCGGCGCGGATTCCCCGACCTCATCTGCTCTAGCCCCACTTGGAAGGCCTCCAGAGGAGGTGCTCCCCTCTGGGCACCCGCGTCGCACCCATGGGGGTCAGCCGCAAGGGTTGAACGATGTTGTCCACCCTCGGCATGCTGGCCCGTGTCTTCCTCCTTCAGGTTCTCCTCCTCCACGTGCTCTCTCTGGACCCTCGGCCACCTAGGGCTGCTGCGTGCAACTCTGAACTTTATTATTCGGGTTCTGGGCGCTATGATTCAAAATGTTTTGTTGGTCTCGTAGGCTGGCGTCGCGTTTCCTCTTTTTTACCCTCTCTGTTCGCCTATTATAAGATAGTAGCCCACCGATTTTGTGTTTGTGGGGTGTCTCTGGATCCAGGGATCCTCTCCGTTGTGGACTCCAAAGGGACGTTCGGGCCCCCCCAGTGCGTAGCACCGCTTTAAGTAGCACCCTCGAGGAGCCTGAGCAATCTTTTCCAGTTTGCATCCGTCTGAAGCTTGACTCGTGCCCCTGATGAGCGTGCCGTGCCACCCTGCTTTTCCTCCTTCCCGCCCTTCCTGATGCTGCTGCTGCACCTCCTCTTTTCCCTCCTCCTCCTCCTCCTCCTCCTCCTCCTCCTCCACCTCCTCTTTTCCCTCCTTCCTTCTCTCCCCCTCGCTACACTCCTGCCCTTGGACCCTGCCCAGGTGTGCCCGAGCCGGAGCAAGAAGGATGGCAGCTGCGCGGCGGCGGTTCGAGCTCTCGTTCCTTCCTATTCCCCCTCCTTCTCCTCCTTCTCCTCCTCCTCCTCCTCCTCCTCCTCCTTCCTCCTCCTCCTCCTCCTCCTCCTCCTCTTCCTTCCCCTGCTCCTACGCCTCCTCCTTCTCCTCCTCCTCCTCCTCCTCCTCCTCCGATTCATCATCCTTCCACTCGTGGCTCGGGAGCATTTGTGCCCAGGGCGAGCCGTGACACGCACCCCTCCTGCATGCGCTTCCGCCTGGGGAAGATTGGAGCTGCGCCGCGCAACGCGGTAGTGATACGTATCCCATGTAATCTCCCCGCGCACCGTGGCTCCGAAAGGCCTCCGCCGCGCGCCTCCTGCACCAAGGCAGCCCAAGCCACCAGGCAAGGGCCGCCAACAGATTCCCTTACCCGTGAGCAACCTGGCTCGAAAGGAAATCTGCGTCGCTGCAGTTCACAGTGGGGGCGGGCGGCGTCGACCGAGCAGTCGCTGCGTGTAACGATCTCGCTCACAGGTACCAGACGCATATCGGCACGATTTACCAGCAGCACCGCTCCGAGTAGCGAAAGCCCAAGGCGAGCTAATGAGATCGTGCTGAAAATAGTTTCAGCTACGTCATGCTGCGTCACTCCCTCACGCGCAAAAGAGCCACAAACCGTGACACTGCACCAGTGGGCGCCACGGCCAAAGCCGAAACCCACGAAGGCAACGACACGGCCCCTCTCATCAGTCTTGATGCGCAAAACGGGGACACACCAGTCACCACTGCAACCACAAAAGACGGGGATGGAATGTCATACGCCAGTAGCGTGTTCTCCCACACGCGGGAGGAAGGCGACCGCTTGCCCCGACAGGTCCGCAGTCAGGGCAAACCTCTGGCTCCCGCACATCTGGAACCCATCAACATGGACTACTCCTGCAGAGAATATGAATCCCAGCAATGCAGCGCGCGGCGAAGGCTATAGAGCCCACGCCAGGCCATATCCAAGGAACCATCTACCAATTCGGACGGGAAGAGCTACAGTGCCTCCAGAACGTCGTGCAAGTCAAACCCGACCCGGCCGATAACGTCGTCGGAATCCGCGCTGACACTCGCGAAGTGGATGCCATCGCTGTTGCGCGTGCGTTCGAGGAAGTATGCACAGCCCATTTCTGCACCAATTAACAACAACCGCTATCCAAGCGGACCAGGCACAGCACATCAAAAAGCAAACGAGCGCCACAAATCAGCCAAGACGGACGCTGTATGCGTCCAAGCGGACGAAAACTTCACCAGCGTTTTCACGGTCGCGTTCGCGGCCTAAGTCCGCACCGTACGAGTCTAGGAAGACATGGCAACATCAGGACGCCGTGGCACAGCTGTCGAGACACGCAGGCTAAAGGCGACCTCCGGCATCAGGCCAGCCGACGTCCCCTTGGTCATCTTTGCCTCAGGCCAAGGAGGCATCCAATTCGGCATCAGTTACCACCGTTCCAAAAGGACCCAGCCCAGTGATTGCACCATCGCGTGGTGCACCGACGGGTACCAGACCGCGCCCCAAGAAGCCTGCCAGACCTCCACCAAGCACAGAGCATTCGGAGCGGCACGGGCATATAACAGAGTTGGCGTCAGGGTTATCTCGGACACCCAGGGGGCAAAATAAGCAGCCCTCGGACTGCGCGGCACCGACGCAGCACTGGCTAACGCCAAGTTCACCCGATCAGGAATTGAACCGCAGAGTGCTACCAAGACACAAATCACCAAAGTGCTCACATCCATCAAGCGGCACTGCGAGGTACAGCACATAGGCTGGGACAAAGCCACCACGTGTGCCTTCGCCGTGGTCAAAGCGGCCAGTCCTCCACCAAACTGTACGAACTGGTGCGTTCGATTCCGTCGGCCTCGCCCTCCATGTCGCAGTCGGCTGCGTCGTTTACGGTAAGGTGGCCGTCGCCAGTGTATGATATGGCTTCCTTCTTGATGACGCCGGTCCGTTTGCAAGGGCCCGGCATGCTGGCGTTGCGCTGCTTCTTCTTTGGTGGTGGGATGCTTGGTTGCGGCGGTGCTTTTGGGCTTGCTTGCGGTTGGAGCAGAGCTTGCAGGTGAGGTCTGGTGACCGCCCTGTCCTGCGGGGGCGGGGGGGGGGCTGGTCCCCGCCCCTCCTTTGGGCGAGGGTGGCCCCGCCGCGCGTGTCTCCACCGCGATGGTCTCTGTCTGGTGAGAAAATTGCGGCGACGGGCCATTAAGTCGGTCCGCTTTGCCGGGGATTTCGTCCCCAACGCGGCGATGGCCCATGGGGCGGCGGGCCCGTGGGCGCGGCGCCCCCTGCCTCTGTCCGCCAACGAGCAGCGCGCGGCGACGGGCCGCGGCGAAATCTCCGACGATGGGGCGGCTCTCTGAACCAGGCGCGCAAGGCGTCTCCGATCAAGCTGACGCGAGGATCTGGTGGCTCGAACGATCAGCAGCAGCTCGCCGAGACGGTCGGGCGCTCCGAAGCGCCCGTCGCCGGCGCGGCCGCCGGCCAAGCCACCGGGCAGCGGGCGCGCAGGAGGAGGCGCGCACGCGCCCGAGCGGGGTGGCACTGGACGGCCCGTGCCCCCCCCCGCCAGGGCCACATTGAAGGGGCCGTGGTGGCTCCTTCCATCCCACCGAGGTAAAACGCACAGGTGGTATTTCTAATATGCGTGCAGGCCGCTGGAGGTGCAGGGTGCAGGGCTTGCTATATGGCTCAGGCGTTGCTCTGCGCGTCTTGTTTGCAGTGGCCATCGCCGTCGTGGGGGCGCCGGCGATTCCAGCCTCAGTTTGCCCGTGCTTTCTCGCGCTCGCCCGCGGCATCTGGCTCGGCGGCGTCCGCCTCGAGGCCGCCGCGCGCCCGCGCCCGCCAGCTTGGGCCCGGCCGCCTCGCGCGCTTCGCGACCGCGGGGCCTCTCGCGCGCGCCCAGGCGCCGCTCGCCGGCGCCTTCCTGAACGACTCGTCGCGAGGCGACCATTGGAAGCGGAAGTCGTTGTGCCATCGTTTTCGCCGGCGACGGCGACGAGCAGCGCCGCGCTGCCCTTGCGGCCCCGCCCGAGTCAGTTGCGCTATGGGCCTGGGCGCCGCCGAAAATACTGCTCGGGCTAGCAGCGAGTCGAACGCGGTGGGACCGACGACAGCAGGGCCTGCTGCGCGCCGCGGGACGCGCGCCAGCTCCGTCAACGAGGCGAACGCGGGGTCGACGGGCAACGCGCTACATCCACGCCTCGGCTCACGGAGCCCGCGAACATTGCCTTCCCTCGGCGAAGAGCCGCGACTGCATGCCCATGCAGCTGTCCAGCGCGCTCCCGCGCTACCAGTTGAGCCCGTTAACGACGTGATGCCCATGGGCACCAGTTCCCAGACTGCCGACGCGCCCGCCGCGCGGGGCGGGCCCGGCGGCCTCGCGGGGCGCTTCGAGCCAGGGCGGCGCCAGCCGTGGCCCACCGCGGTTCGGGGACAGCGGCGTCGGCGAACCAGAACCGCAGGGGGCGGGCTCCCCGACGCAGGCGTCTGCGCCAGACGGAGGCCCCAGCTTCGCCGGCCAAGCGAGCGGAACGCGCGCTTCCAGCGGCGCAGCTGCTGCCGGGGCCCGTCTCTGACCAAGCGTGCCCAGAGCGCCACTTCACTTGGGCCACCCGCGACGGCCAGCCCTGCGACGCCGGGCCCAATGCCACTGGGCTCACGGGCGGGGTCCATAGCCAAGGCGCCAACGGACACAGCGGCCGCGGTAACCGACAGATGCAGACCTCGCATGGGCCAGCGCAGTCCAGCCAAGATCCAGACATCCACCCGGACTTCGACTCCGACGTCGGCTGCGCCCACTTGCTGGTCGACGACCAGCTGGACATGACGGACAGTCAGGCCTGGGGCGAGGTGGGCCCGATCGCGAGATCCGCCGCGGCCGCCTCGCTTGCGCGCGGGCGCAGCCGCGGCGATCCCGCGCGCGGCGGCGACGATGGCGGTGGCCCCATCCCCCCTTGCGTCGCCTCCTGCCGCCGTTGTCGGGTGGGCCGCCGTCGCGGTCGCGTCGCCCCCCTCCTCGTCCTCCAGGCTGTCGTCGGGACTTGGTCTAGAGAGTGCGGTGCGAGGATCCCGCCCCCACGCGGCGCGGTTTCCGGACGTCCGCGGCGCGCGTGGCAGTCTGGGAGCGTGCCCTGCGCACCATGCCGCGGCTAACCCTACCCACTGGGTTCACGGTGAGACTAGAGGCTACACTAGCTCCGCTGACGACGTTGGCCCTCAGATGATCAAATGACCCACCTCGCCATCGTCAAGGTCAGTAGCCTGGGCGCCAACTGGGGGGCCCCAGCAAGCTCCGAGAGCACTGATGCACCACCGTCGTCGCTCTCCAGGAGGCCCGACACCCAGGTGGCGTCTGCGTCGTTGCCCAA